TCTCATAAATGCCAGGAAAGCTTGATATTCGATGATTTTTTTGGCACAAAAATGGCCACCATTTGACCATTTTGAATCAGAATGTGAAATTCATTAATTAATTAACTAAATAAGTTGGATGACAAGTTATGAATTGTTTTTGCTCACTGGAAATAACACATACAATTGTATGAAATGTCTCCTACAGAAAGCAGCAGACAATGACTTACATGGTCACCAATAGTGGGCAGAGAATAACTCACCGATCTCATACAGAACTGCCCTAATTTGTTTGCTTGTTGCAAAAGACCCATTAAGCAATGTAATGTTTTTCCTTCACGTTGTAATCCATTGCAGTTGGTGTCTATTTCAGTTCGACAACTCAAAATTATATCAGGATTGATCATGTAGTCCTCCATTAGACTCTTACGAGTGTCAAATATCTCACCTTGACATTCACTGTTTATTGCATGACCTGAAAAAAAACAATGTATAACAGAACATGGTTTAAATAATCCTGACAAGTCACTACACTCCATCACTCTTCTTGTACAAATAGTCAGTATATATTTTCTATGAAAACATGTCCCAGTTCAATTTCGTTTTCATGAAAACATAATAAATTCATTATGGCATAAGTGATTTGATAGATGATTGACACTGATAAATGATAACTACATATTTTGTGGAATAAAATCAGGAAGACTTAATTTTAAATTATTTATTCCCCTGTAAAAGACATTTAGTGACTGGCATCCCAGTTATAAAATGATGGGCCCTGTTTACACATCAACCATGTCCATGGCAGACTGAATTTAAGCTAACATGTGGGATTATTATATCATCCGTCACTTCTGTTTGCGAGAGATTCTTTTTTACCTTTTGGTCTTCGCATAAATAGATGGGCTGAGAAATGCACAGATTGAGCGACTACATACATGTACTAGGGTAGTATGGGTATGTCCTCTCCCTAAAATTGACAACTGTTTAATAGACCAAATAGTATTTTACAATAGCTTCAAATTGTAGTATTAACAGTTACCTTTTTTAACTTGGTTTTCCAAACAAAGTAAAATAAATGATAATTTGGATTCCTTCTGCTTGATGTGTTGATATTCACAATGATATTTCTTGATATCTTGATGACAAGTCTTTTGTAACTTATAACTGATCTTGTAGTCTTGTGCTGCAAGGCGCTGTCGTATCGTCAGTTTATCCCGACACTGTAAACATAATATACAACAAATCATGAACATTGATCAAGGGGTTACATTTACTTACCTTATGATATTGCTCAAGTTCAAGTATTCTAAGCATTCTACAAAGACACAAAGCAACCTGAGAGCCATAGTTAAGTTTAAACACTAAACTGTACACGAGAAGAGAGGCCGAGGAGATGTATTCACCGCTTCCATGGCCCACCCCCTCAAGGATTAACTCAAAGTATTAAAGGAAGAGAACTTAATTATTTCTGGCAAATATTTGATCCAGGATTTTACGCATATTACTTATAGTTAAGGATCTGAGCAGACTCACGACTTCATTCATGTCATGTTATTGTTTAGAATCTGAGCAGACTCACCACTTCACTCATGTCACGTTACTGTTTAGGATCTGAGCAGACTCACCACTTCACTCATGTCA